TCTCCTAAATCACTCGTACGCACAACTTAACAAATCTGTGCGTACAAACGGTTTTTGCATGAGGCTCATTGTTTTCTACATTTGATCACATGTGAAAAACATGTTAGCTTTACCTGATTTGTTTCTGTAAAGGCCAGAGTGGACGCCTCAGCAAAGTCCTCCCATGAAGTCCTCTGTAGACCACAGGAATATAAATGTGAGGTCGTTTGTCAGACAGCGAATCCATAACAGAACAGCTGAGAAAGAAAAGAACCAGACTGTAGGAATGATCCATAGTCCAGACCTCAACCTGAGACCTCAACCTGAGAACCAAGCTGAAACAAATGTTTGCAGTGAACTAAAACAAGTTGATAAAGATCCAGAACTCTTCTAGAGTGGCAGACTGAAACTGAAAGAGGGTTTCTGTAGAGGGACATAATTTTTTTTCCAGTTTTGTGTGTATAATTATTGTAATTAATYCCAGTTGAAACAGGAGCTGTAAAATAGATGACTGGTGTGTTTGTGTCTCTGCAGGAAAACAGCATCATTCTGAACGGATCAGTCATGTTCAACGCTACACGGATCCCCAACTCTGCAGGAGACTTGTTTCTCAAAGATGGTCTGGAGAGGTACAAGCTCTGCATGTGTGAAGACGGGACTCTGTTCCGTGTGCTGGTGAAATTTACCAACATGGGCTGCCAGACGTCAGACAACCCGTGCAGAAAGGATCACTAGGTCTGTTGCTCCATCCCTGCAGAAACAAGAATAAACACTTACAGATGTGTGTAATCTGGACTGACATGCCGTTTTTAGCTCATCGCCTGCACTTCATCACTCTACAGTTAATGACAGTTTGCCAAACATAGGTTGGGCTGCAGATTATTGCCTTTTGGCCAAAGATTTTGGTTGCACTTAATGAAGTTTTGCTCCTCAGATTTGCCCAACTTCATCTAAAATGAACACCTCAGGAGAAGGTGAAGCTGAAATATTATCGACTTACTGATGCACATTTAGCAAGGGTTTATTGAAGTTGTTTGTTGTCATTAAATTCACTTGGCAGCTGTGTTTTATGTCCACCTTGTTGAGTGACTTCTGTAAAACACTACAGGAAAATTAAAGTATTATTTAATGCTTTACCCGTTCAATGCCAAAATCATTTCAGTCCATCCAGTAAAGCAGATCCTGATCTGCATGTGCCAATGGATTTAAAGGGATGAGATAGGATGTAATAAATCAAATATATTCTAATTGTGTTGCAAAAGTTTCTCTACAGCAAACATATGTGAGCCGTCACATCGAAACGAGGATTAAGTCCAAAAGGGGAATGTGGAGAAACAGGTTGATAAAGGGTTTTAATTTAAAAGTGTGCAAAAAATTGCATTTTGTCAAAATTTTAAGTTAATGCCTTATCTTTTTTTTTTGCAAAAAAAGTAGTTAATGCCTTATCAATGTATCATTTGAATGAACTGTCTGAAATATAATCCTAAAAAAATGTTTTTGAAGCATTTTTTTGAGCATTACCAACAAAAAAACTGATTTTGAGGAAAAACACCTTAAAATGTTGCCTTTTCCCATGTGAGCTAGCAATGTTTTTGTTTCTTTCAAACTGTTTGAGGTTCCCTCTTTATAATGACATCAAACATTACTCCATAAATTTACATAAAATCAGGATTCAGACCAAACAGTAATGTATCATCGTAACCAACAAGACAAATGAAGTCATTTMTCTGGATAAGCTTATATCAGGGCCCGTATTTATAAAACTTCTTAGAATTACTCTTAAGAATGCTGCTAAGAGTGGACTTAAGTGTAAAAAAACCTTAGTTAAAAGCTGAGAGTAAAAGTCAGTTATCAAGTGTCTCAGTCTTTCTTTAAGTGAAGTGTAGGAGTAATTCTTAAGTGTCAGTCTTAGAGATTATTTGCGACACCTGGCTGTGAAGCAAAGCTGATCCTGGATGACGTCGTTATAAAAAACCCYGACATGGACCAATCACTGCCTCGGATTTCATGTTCAAGAATATTATTGGAGAAATGTCAAGATAAGTCTGTGAAAATGCTAAGATAAGTTGACTTTCAACACACTAATGTTGTCACCTTGGACTGATTGTCTGTAGAATAACATAAGATGTCCTCATTTGTGTTATGAAAACAGACCAAAAAATTTTTRAATCAAAAACTCAGCAGCGTTAAAGTTGTTTTATGTCTCAGAGCCTGAGGTCATGTTGAACTGCTCCCTTCTCGTCTTCACCACTGTCTGCAGGCAACACCGGCATTACACACAGACACACACACACACACACACACACACACACACACACACACACAC